TTATAATAAACAATATTAACAACATTTACCGGCCTGAATGTCTGAGAAATTGCCATAGAAAATATGCGTCCTCCGACAGGAATCGATCCTGTTTCCTATACAGAACCGTCACATAGCCTGACGTGCTTTTACCGATTGTGCCACAGAGGAACGTTTCGGTTAGCAAAGTCGATTTTACTGTTTTTAAACTACAATTTTCAAAAACAACAAAATCGACCTTGCTAACCAAAACGCTCCTCTGTTGCGAAATCGGTAAAAACACGTCAGGCTATTATTATAAACAGAGCATTTACTTAAATATTTGTATGTATAAAAAAGTATGTATAATCATAAAAATGTCTTTAAATAATTGTCAGACTTTATCCATTTCATATATATATATATATATATATAAACAAATGTTTGGAGGTACAAAATTTATAAATAGTTTTAAAAACTAGGAAACCATTGATTTTAATATTAAAAGTCTCTAGAGCCCTTTCAGCCAACATCTCATCAGGAGACAATCGTTGGATTAGCGAAATGAATAATAGCGATATTGAAGAGCAAAAAAGAGGGGGAAACACACTAAAATAACGAACAAGTATATATACTTGTAACGAGGGAAGGGTTATCGTGTAAATAAATAGCGAGGGACAGTTAAAATAAAATATCCCCCAACAGATTCAGAGACCTTATAAATTCTTTCTGCCGGCAGAGAGAAGGTTTTCTAAATCCTATACAGACCGATTCCAAAATCTTCAAATGATTATTGAATCGGCTGTATGAATAATTCTAAACCACTCTTTTTTATACAACTTGGCACAAGCTATATTCTCAACTAAATGTTGAGCAATAGCCGATTCCATATTCATGGGGGAAGATAGCATATTCTATCTATCTTACCAAGTCGTATTTTGAAGGAACGTGCTGATTAATTCTAGTTTCCAAATGCAAGGTTGTACGCCCCACATAACCAGCAGAACACTGGCAATTAAATTCATATACTAAATTACTCAATTTGATGTAGGGCAATACATCCTTGCGAAAAGACGGAAACGCAGACCTAGTTTGAAAAATGCTACGTAAAGCAACTGATGGGAAACAACCGGAAACCAACTTGCTAACCTGCTTAATTAAGCCCCTGACCACTATCCCCAATCCAGGGAATCTTCAAATAAACCGGACATTTAGAAGGCCCCTGGATTTTAGGGGAATGAAATTCCTTAGTGTTCTTACTTATAATGTAGTCAATAAGGGCCTCCGGATAGCCGTTACTAAGGAAAATCTCCTAATGTTCCCAAATTCACGGTCCAATCTAATAGGGGAACACACTTTAAGCGCTCTATACACCAAGGTTTTAACGAGATTAATTTTCCTTGATGCAGGAGCAAATGAACGCCAATTCAAATAAAGTCCAGTAAAGGTGGGTTTACGATAGATGCTAGTAATAAAACCACCTCTACTGCGTTCAACAAAAACGTCCAAAAAGGCAGACAGTTGTCTTTCTCCCTTCCATAGTGAAAGACAAACCATTGTGTAAGGAGTTGAGCTCATTAAAGAACTCAACAGCCTCACTTTTATTAGAGAATGTTGCAAAGGTGTCATCGACATATCTAACATAAACAAATGGTTTAGACACTTTGCCGAAAAGTAACATTTCATGGTAGCCCACAAAAGGTCTCTGAATCTGTTGGGGGATATTTTATTTTAACTGTCCCTCGCTATTTATTTACACGATAACCCTTCCCTCGTTACAAGTATATATACTTGTTCGTTATTTTAGTGTGTTTCCCCCTCTTTTTTGCTCTTCAATATCGCTATTATTCATTTCGCTAATCCAACGATTGTCTCCTGATGAGATGTTGGCTGAAAGGGCTCTAGAGACTTTTAATATTAAAATCAATGGTTTCCTAGTTTTAAAACTTATATATATATATATATATATATATATATATATATATATATATATATATATATATATATATATATACTGTACACTGTATGACTCAGAATAGTGGACCCCATACAGCTCCTATATCAATCAGCCGGATATCTTTCACAAAAGTTGTCTCACCGCAATCTGTCACAATGCAATGGCAAATTAGCTGGCTGGTCATGTGATAACGATGAGTGATGACAGAATACCAAGTCTCATGTATAGCCAATTTGACAGTTGACAAAGGACTTTTGGACGGGCGTGGCTCAGGTATAAAGACAAGTTAAAGAGTAACCTCTCAGCTGTCAATATTCCTCATACTAACTTCGAGTGAGTTGCCCTAGATAGGAGTAACTGGAGATATTTGTGCCCGAGTTATATCGGAAATTTCGAAATCAGTTATATTGACCAGCTTAGAGACAAAAGTCAGAAGCTAAAATTGTCAACAAATATTCCACTTTCTATGTCCCTAGATCCCCGCTGTTGCACAATATGTGGGCTTGTATGCAGGTCACTAGAGAGACTGAAGTTTCAGATACGACAGAAACATAAAAATGAATGAGGTTGTCGGATCCTCATACATAGAAATCGATGTGAGAGTCCACCATATATATATATATATATATATATATATATATATATATGTGTGTGTGTGTGTGTGTGTGTGTGTGTGTGTGTGTGTGTGTGTGTGTGTGTGTGTGTGTGTGTGTGTGTAAAGACAATAAAAAACTATAATGATAGCCAACGCGTTTCGTCCGTTGTGGACTTTTTCAAGGCAAATACGATATGAATTTATTAAACAAACTTTTTTTTTTGCCTTGAAAAGTCTACATTGGACGAAACGCGTCGGCTACCATTACAGTTTTCTTATTGTCTTTACATTTATACATATTGTCTTTTTCAACAGGTTAACTCTGAGAAATTTTTCATATATATATATATATATATATATATAAAAAATATAGTCTTAAGATATGCGATATTTATGGGATAAAAGTGCTCAATATCAGAGATAGAGCGTGTATATATATATATATATATATATATATATATATATATATATATATATATATATATACTGTTGTGTCCGAGATTACTTAACAGTTTCCCTGTTTAGGTAGTATTCGTTTATTTCTGTCGGTTTCCGAATGTAGCAGGAATTATTTACTTTATTTTAGGGCTAATTTCTGTATTTCAAAAAAAGACTTGCTATGTAATTATGCTTTAGAAATCAAGTTCTTTTACTTGTTATTATTATCAGCAACTAGCAATGACACAAATCAGTTAGTATTTTATCCATGCAGTACAAGCTTGCACAATGGATAATGAACAAGGCCAGGTTTTCTTACGTAAAATTCTTATGATCCAATCCTATGATCCGAGAAATGAGATAATCAAGGACTATAAAAGACTCCGGCGTATACAAAATTATGAAACCAATCAACCGTATTGGTAAATCCATTTACACAAAGGGATTCCGTTTGAGCGTGTGAGTTCGGAGCAATTAGAGAAATTTCCCAATAGGCTGCCATGAACATCTAACAAGCATCGCATTATCCTACTTATATATCGGGAAAGATGAACAAAAAACAATGGATACATTCAATATACGTAGAATGTCTATCACTTTTAGTAAAACCTTTTTCAAAGAACATGCGTATATTCATTCTGTCTGTCTTTCTTTCTTTTTATCTTTCTTCATTTCTTTCTTTCTTCATTTCTTTCTCATTTCTTTCTTTTTTTCTTTCTTTTCCCTAAATTCAAACAGTGCCTTTGAGATGGATTTTCTTCCGTTTATCTTCGCAATCAAACCGGAATTGTTCATTGTTTATCTGAGCTAATGTGCGGGCTTAAAGTACAGGCTAATTAACTAATTTACTAACTAAGGAACAAATGAACTAGCTGTTTTATAATAATAATAATAATAATAATAATAATAAATTTATCTATGTAAAATGTTTTTGATCTTAGGTTTTGTTTCGATATTTTACAAAAAGAATGAGCAGTGGATAAAAGCCATGAAGCCATTTTCTGACTTTACTTCTCTGGTTGGAACCCAGAAGGAAACGTGTATAGAACAGAAATCAAAAGAAATAATAATAATAATAATAATAATAATAACAACACAGCACTTAAAGAGCGTAATTTAAGAAAAGAAAGAAAAGAAACGGTTTTTGAAAGTGTTCAACAATTTGGAAATATTGTTGAACTTTGTCAAACAGTGTCGTTTCTTTTCTTTTCTGAAATCACGTCCTTCTCTTAACTATTGAAAAATGGTAGAAAACTCAATCGTTTTGTTTTATAATAATAATAATAATAATAATAATAATAATAATAATAATAATAATAATTCTTCAAAATGTACTGGAGATGTACGGAGTCTTCTTGACACCATGCCTCAAAAACAGACTTTCCATTGAGTACGTCAATTTGCGACACCAACATAATAATAATAATAATAACAATAATAATAATAATAATAATGAGTAGAAGAAGAAGAAGAAGAGGAATAGCTGACATGTTGAGTGTCTCCCTTCCATATGACTATCCTACTTGGCATATTAGTTTTGATAACAGGATGTGTTAAAAAACAAAATCTCAAATATTGCCTGTAATGAGCATTGTCAGAGATTATTAACAAGTGTCTTCACGTTGATACCAAAAATAAAACTGCATCTTCTTTGTTACCAAGCCTCGTCTACAACGCAATTTAACTTAACTGTGTCGGCTTTTATAATCGTATTGTTTTTGTTTTGTTTTGTTTTTTTAACCAGAGAATTTTCTCTGCTAAGCCAAACCTACTGAGCTATGTACTTTTACCCAGAATGAACTTGCAGTAGTAGGCATTCTTTTTGTTTGTGTGGTGTTGTACGCTTCATTCAAAATAGAATTGTTAGGCAGACATTCCTTCGCAAAGTCTCTAAGTGTATTTCCATTCTAATTATTGGCCACTTGCTTGTTTCAATCGTGATTAAGATTATTATTATTATTATTATTATTATTATTAAAACATCGAATAGGCGTCAGAGGCAGACAAAAGCGAGGTGAGTGTGGAAAGGAAATGAAAGTGAGGTAGGGTGAATTAATGAAGCATGAAAGAGAGAGAGTCATAGTGGGCAAATAGAATGAGATAAAATAAGGGGAGGGTAAGGAAAGGAAGGCCGCAAAGAGAGAGAGAAAAAAAAGGGGAGAAACTGAAAAAGAGAAAAGGGGAAAGTGAAAATTCAAAAAAGAAAGGAAATATAGAAAAAAAAAAAGAAAAAAGAAAGTGGGAATAAAGAAAGGATCTTAGATAATGAAAGAGTGAGAGAGTGAGAGAGAGTGAGAAAGATAGAAAGAAATTAAAAAAAGAAGAGAAAAGCAAAGAAAAAACAAAGAAAGCAGATGAAAATGGGTGTGTCAGAGAACTCGGAGTGAAAGAAAGAGAAAACCTTCTAGAGAGAAGGAAAGCGAAAAGAGGAAGAAAAAAGAGAAAAGGCAAAGAGAATGAAAAAAAAAATGACGATGAAAGTGGAATGTGCCAGAGAACTGTAAATAAAAGAAAAAGATAAGTTTAAAGAGATCAAAAGGAAGAAAAGAAAATATAGGAGGGAAAAGAAGAGGAAAAGAAAAAGAAAAAAAGAAAGAGAAGTGGATAAAAAGAGAGAACCTTAGAGATAAAGAAAGATAGAAAATGAAAAGGGAAGAGAATAAAGGATAAAAAATCAAAGAAAAAGAAAACGAAAGAAAGTATGCCAATGTCAAAAGGGTAGCAGTAAAAGAAAGAGAGGTTAGAGAGAGAGAGAGAGAGAGAGAGGGATAGAGGTGGGGTGGGTGTACGAAAAAGAATAAAGGAAGAAAAGGAGAAAAAGCAAATAAAAAAGAAGAAGAAAGAAGAAAATACGGCAAAAGAAGAAAAAAAAAAGAGAAATGAACAAAGGCAAGAAAATTTAGAAAAGGGAGAAAAATGGAAAAATGCAACGAGACGGAATAACCCACCGCTGAAATGTTGCAAGCAGAATTTTCGTAGCTTGCCTCTGACCCCACGGGACAGAAAATCATATATTCAGCTTTTGTTCTCTAACCTTTATTATGTAGGTCGTACTCTGAAATTAGGGGTTAAATTTTGTAAAAAAAATAAGAAAAAAACGAAAAATACTACATACCATATGTCACAAAATGTAGTAAATATTTTATCAAACGAAGAAAATGCCTCCGAATCGAAAACTATTTCTCTAACATATAAGGTGTTGGGAAGCATTTAAAAGAAATATCGAACATTCCCTCAATGACGAACTCTGAAAATAATAAAATAAACCAATTACGGCGGATCTTTATTGGAAAAGAACATTCGAGAATGAAAATAAATAATATGAGACCTTGCTTTGGTCAAAGTAAAGAATGACATTGTTCAGTAAGTCAATACAAGGTCAGAGTATACAATGGTCGAGCAGAAAAGCCTATAAGCTCGGCCGCCTAAAAACAGTATGAAGAAACAATCCATAAAAGAAACGAAACAAAGTATTTCGAATCATGAAAATTTCGTGAGAAACAAAGAAAACAGTGATGAAATGGTATGTAATATAAACTCTCGTGTATGGCAGTGGACAATTTTCTTGCAGATGAACAGAAGACCTGTGGCAACAGAGATGGAGTCCTACAAAAGTTAATAAAAGAAACGGGAAAATTTTCTAGCAGATGAACAGAAGAGCTCTAGTTTGAGCTTTGATTAACTTCTATAAGATAAAGAAACAGGAAAATTTTACTTACATTATGTAGAGTGTTATCCTCATCTTCATTGTCAACGTTTCGGACGTTGTACGCTCCGGCCTTCTTCAGATGATTGGAATTTCGAATCGAACCACCGGGGTAGATTGTTCTAGTTCCACATGCCATGCCTCTTCCGGTTGTATCAGTTATTTCATTTTAACACAACTCTCCAAGTTTCGTTCACCACTGCGTGGCCTGGTATTGAAGTCACAACTCTTCAGGCCTTAGTCATGTTCTCCTGTATGAGGGGGTCTTACTCGGAAAAGGTGTCTTCGAAGCGTTGAACCACTTTTGAAGGTCTTCCTGATGTTATATAGACCACAGATCCTTCGTAATTTCTCCTTAATACCTTCACATAGGGTAGGAAGAAAGTTTTCTGAGTCATTTTATCCACTTGTACCTTTCTACCACATTTTGTTGGAGCTGCTACCATGTATCCGGGGTAGTTGTTACGTTGTAGGGTACTGCTTATACTATTTCTTGTTGGTATGTTTTTGGGTCGCCATTTATGACTTTTGCTCTTTCTTTACACTGTATGGATGGCGGGAATCGAAGTTGAGGTATTGTCTGGTGAACGTTGGCTTGGGGTATACGGATATCTTGAACCCCAGCTCAGTTAGAGACATGAGTACATACAGGAAGTAGATTTTGTTGTTGTTTTCTCGCTTCATTCTGAACTGTATCGATGATTTATTGAGGAAAATTATAAACAAAGAAAAGCGTACAGATCTGCTTTCTGTTATCCATCCACCTATATGGCAATGGATTCTGGAAAATTTGTTCACATATGAGGATATTTGATGTAACAGAGGTGTTATTCTACCGGAGGATACTGAGAATACTATGGAAGAAACATGTGTGCAACGGAAAAGGTTTAAGGTAGATAGGAGCAAAAAGGACACAGAAACAGTTTACATTTCCGGCACACATCATGTGGAAAGTGTGCTGGAAGAATTTGGCAATCACAAGGGATATTGTAAGCAAAAGGGACAGAAGAAAACACAAGAACCCTGCTAAAGTATCTGGTGCAAATAAATGGCAGAACTAGGGGGTTGGGCGCTAGTTAATAGGCAAACATTTCCGAGGGCCACAAAAGAAAAATAGATCGATCATTTTCTAAATTAACATAATACATAAAAGACGTATTCGTTTTTCTGTTTACTGATATTTTTTTTACTCTAATTGAATTAGTATTGGTATTCTCAGCATCCTTCTGTAGAACCACATCTCTTTTACCAAGATCCCTTAATCTGTGAGTAAATTAACCAGCATTGACTGCCATATACACCCTTGTGCAAATTAATTGAAACAACCGCTTTAGTTTCCTTTCTTTGACCGTACGGTCAGTTTTAGGCCCACATAAAGTTTAATCGATTTCTATCCTTTCGCCAGATGAGGACATTTGAAGTAGTGTGCAGTAATAGGAATTTATTTTCGGGGTGTATGATGAAATTTGTTTGGCCTTGAAAAATATTGAGTCATCCGTGATGGCATCGGATTTTGATCTCACACAAACACTATTGTCGCGGCTGTCGATTAGTTGTCCTACGGCCATTGTCTGCGATGGACGTTACTCCAAGGAATCGTACGAAAATCGTAACGCTGCATGAACAAAATGGCAAGTCTTACCAGTGAGCAAATCAAATTACTATAGACTGATTTATATCCAATCGTGAATCTGTGGTCAATCTGCAAGGAACGTCTTTGTCGAATGGATATATGAATTACAAACATGTGTACTGGGTCATGTTTCATTAGAAAAATATGAAGAAAAGTAAATAATAAGGGAATTATTCACTTTGTTTCAATTAATTTGCACAAGCATGTACGAGGATTGAAACTACATTGTGGGTGAGCACACTTTTCTATGCTTCTAACAAAATCTCTTTATTTCATAATACTTTGTACAGCTTTTGAAAGGCGTCTTTCGCTAATCCAGAGTACCTTCGGATGAGGTGTCTCATTTTCCGTTGCCTGTTAACAGAATGTGTAAGACACTATTTACATTATTCGGACTATTGTCCTCATCTTTGTTGCCATATTTATCACAACGTTTCGGCCGTTGTACGCTCCGGCCTTCTTCATATGGTTGGTATGTCGAACTGAACCCCTTATTTCGCTCACTGGGGTAGACTCTTCTAGTTCCACGTGCAATGTTTAATGGATGTCAGTTATCAGTTATCTCATGTTAATTCACCTCTCCAAGTTCTCCACTGCCTTAACCAGGTATTGAACTCACAGTCTTTGGCTCCTGTCACTGGATCTAACTAACGCCTTTATCCACTGTGCCATGTGTCCTTGAGTTCAATACCTGGTGGCAACAAAGATGAGGACAATAGTTTGAATAATATAAATAGTGTAAATAATACCTCACCTTAGAAATATAGTCAGATACTGAAGAACTTGTAAGAATTCAGATTAATATTAAAATCCTTTCTGTTAAATCTTAAATCTTACGTTTCTTCTACTTGTTTTTTGAATTCTGACCTAGTCTATTGCGTTCCCTTTCTCACTAATACCCTTTTGAAAGACATATATCCAATTCTCACCCCCACCCAGCGGTAGATTAAAGAGTAGGGTAGACTCTTCTTTATAGCATTGAATGACAGCTAATATTAGAGAAGAACTATGCATTTAACATTAATGGAAAAGGCAACAGGGAACACTATACTATCTCCCAATCCACACACACACACACACACACACACCACACACACAAAAAAAAACATGGCAATTCACAGAAAAAATGATCTGTGAACAATTACGATTGACTATGTCCTGAAGAGACATGGTAATTAAAGATAAATTATTAAATAGCAGAGTAGCCAGGTCTCTGTAGCGTTGGCTAACAGCCAGTCTAGGAGAAGAACAACTGTGAATTGAAAATCTCTGGCGAAGACAACGAGAAACTCCTTTTTTGGTCTTTCGCAGTAAGTCTTGTGAATTTACAGATAATAACGAAAAAGACTTTGTCAAGAGCCGTGATAATCTGTGGCCAGAAAGAAAATGGAGATTATAAGACAAAGTGAAAAGGTTGTTCAACTATGTGTTTCACCCCTTATCATAGGTGTCCTTAGGCTGGAAAGAAAGACAAAGTTGTTTGTGTGAAAAGGGAGTTGGAATCTGGACAAATGCTAACAAAGATTCTTATCAGATGACCCGGCCAGAGAGTTAGTCTTTTATGTATTGAAAACATAGATGTCTGCTAGATTTCAAATTCATCTGTTGGTTCATATTCCCCATTGTGCTACTAATATTTTTGCTACGGTGTGTGATATAATAAAAATGCATTGTACCTGGGTATGACGATAAATTACATCCGGCAGCAAGACCTCTGATCGGGAGATTGGAAGTTTCAAAGAACGTGGAGACACTTCTTAATTGCTGTTATTACACAAGTCCATCTTGACCCCATGTAGTAGCATCTGTTAGAGTTCCAACTATGTACAAATAGTGAACATAAATCGAAACAATAGGAATATATAAAAACTTATAGTCAAAATATCAGCAATACAATTTATAAAAACTTTACCAACAATATATTTTTGTAGCAAAATGACCAATAATTTATTTTATAGTAGAATTATCCACCATACATTTTATTATAAAATGACCAACAATACATTTTATAGCAAAATAACAATACAAAATCAAAAAAATATATAAATAAGTTTTATAGTAAAATTACTAGCAATATATTTTTATAAAAAATTGCCAACAATACATTTTTATGAAGAAATTACCAATATATTTTGTGGTAAAATTAGCAGCAATATATTTTTTGAACTTACCAACCATATATTTTATAATCTACGAACGATATATCTGATTGTGGTATATACTTTTTAAATTAATTTTTATATATCAAAAACAGTTTTAAAAGAAAAGATGCATGACAAATGGATAAAAAAAAATTGTAACGTGTTTCATCCGTCAAGACTTCATCAGACAGGGTTGGTTTACGTTGTTGTTACTGCATATGCACACGAACGAATGACGATGAGAGTTTCAAAATTCAGAATTTTTTTTTTTTCAATCTAGTCAAATTCAGCTAGATTCCTGTTATTTTATTTGCATAATCTTTGTTATTAAATATCCAACATTGCCATAACAGAAAATCTACCAAGAATGCTGGAAAAACTACATGCAAATTTACTGTGGATGAACTAACGATTAAATATTTCCATTTTGTCATGTCCTTTCTTCCAAACTATACATCTGAAGAAAAAAAAACATACGTTTCCTCCGAAAAATATAAAATTATGTACAAAATATCTGTAGTTGAAAGCATAAAATGAGATAAAAAAATATGTAGATTTCGGCATTCAATAATCCATAGAGATGTTGATATTCCTTTAAAGAAAATCAATCACAACCACTCTTACACCTACGTGATGACGTCAACTATATGTTGCGACACATACATTTGAATAGCTTTGTCACTTTGTCTTATTTCTCCCCTTTTGATTGGCTATTATTCTACACCATACGAACACATAGGGTGATATTTGTCAAGCAATTGTACAGATGAGGGTTGTTATCGTGAATTCATTCTTGGTAAACAACCACATTTTTGTAGTCGGAAATACGAGATTTGTAGGAAGAAACTCCCTTTTTAAAATTTTAATAATATTATTAGTTATGGGCCGATTTTCGTAAGACGTGTTTTATTTTGAACAGTATAATCGTGGAAGTAAAATAAATTCTATCTTTTGCCAATTTTTTTTCCAATCGGAATGTTGAATGACGACTACTTCTGTGGGGATCTACAATAGACCCCGTATTCCTCAGCTTGGAATGACAATCCCAGCACTTGTATCACGGCCTGACACACTTCGTAACGAGATGCTAGCTGTGCGCGTTCATGCAGTTTTAGACTTTGTGCCATTCTGGGCTACGCTTGTCACTCCGAAATAATAATAAAAAAAACAGAAAGTAGCATTGAAAGTCTACCACTTTAGGTAGCACAACATATTTTGTTTCGTGCAAATCTTTAGTTTCCTTTCTTTCACCATACGGTCAGTTTTAGACTCAAATCTAGTGAACTTAACAAAAGTTAAAAGTCATTTTGGTTTATGGTCACGTGACGTTGAAACACTAGTTCCCGTGTGACGATCGAAGATAAGCAACTTTTGAACCTGGTCAGAACCTAGATAGCTTGCCGGCTTCGGTATACAAGGTGCTTTAAGCGTGGATGTGCGGCCGGTGGATAATGAATAATGATACAGTATTCTTAATCAGAGTCCGAATTCCCGTTCGATTCACTTACTTGCAAATACCATTGGGAAAGATAAGAATCCATCTTTTCTCCCCTCCATCTATGGGTTAATTAGTAAGACTTGTATCTTCTTTATAGCTATATCCTCTCCGGACGTAGACGATCATGGCTTCCACAATTTTGTATCATTTGTAGTTCTTAAATTTTCTCTTTTTATTATTTTTTCTATACCTTGTTCCGCCATTTATTTACTCACTCACTAAGTATTTTATACTTTGTTTTCCTCTGTCCTTTTTGCTTTCAATCTATCCTGTGAGTTTCACATTATTATAAGTCCTAGAAATTTCAGCTGGTGTTAAGTTTCCATGTTCTTTCCATTTTCTCTAGAATTTCATCATTCATGGTATCCTTAGCATCCTTCTGTAGAACCACATTTCCTTTGCTTGAAGTCTATTCTTCATCTTATTAAACGTAATATTTTGATCCAGATATATGTGGGTACGTTCGTATTTTGAAGAAAATGCCTATTAAGCATTTCCGTATAAGGAAACATTCGACATTCATTTACTAAATAGTCAATGTTCCTTTCGCTTGAATTTTACAAAATCTTTCCTTTAAAAACAGGTTTCAGGAAAACGGCATTTTCAAGACCAGTAACTGTTATAGCTCTTTCCAGTATTGATGGGGATTTCCTTCCTAACCATTTATTTGAAGTTGTGTAGAATGTCAATATCTTGAGTGTCATTATTTTATATTTTTTTATATATTTTATATATGGCCTGTCTGTTATAACTCACTTCTAGCGGTTATAATATTGTTTTGTGTCGTAAATACAATTCTCTCTGACGCCAACTGACTTCCACTGGCTCACTTTGAGTTCTTTACGGCGTCTTGCCTAGTTCATTTGTGTTACCGGTAGTGTCTTACTTACTCCACAACACTATCCAATTTAGTTGTTACCGCTGTTGAAAGTTCTGAAGTGATGTTTTCTGTTATCTGGTATTATTATTTGTGTATGATCCTGTAGCATCAGTTCATGAGATTTGAAAAAGAATTGTTCATACTAAGAAGCATGAATCCTCCTTTAACCACCGTTCTGAGAAACGATGTTTCTTTTTTGTTTTTGTTTTTTCATTTGGTAAAATTATTTTCTTGTTCTGTAGTACCATTACCCGAATTTCAAAGAAGGGTAGTCCTCTCTAAGACCTACAGGCTGTACTCTCTAGAATCAATTTTTAACCATTGATCTGAGAACTTGGTTATATATGTCGGATAGTTCAGATAATTCTGAACGAATCTGACACCATGCATAATATACATATGAAAGTCTCCAGGGTATTTAATTATTTAACTCGAGTTTTTTTTTTTTTTTTTTTTTTATTGTGTGGTTTTGTGGTATTGGGTGAAATTCTCTTCAGTGGAACCTACTGTATGTTCCATTTTCTTATCTCCTATACTAAAGTTTCCGTCTATATTGCTGAGATGAGGTATTATGTACACTATTTACATTATTCGGATAATTGACTAATATAAATGTTTTCAGTAATCATTTTTTACCAGTGCTCATATTGCAATTTGACATTAGGTTTATAATACCCAAAACATTATACACAGATGTCCTCAAGGATACATGATACAGTAGATAAAGGCGTAGGTTAGATCCAATGACAGGACCAAATGAGTGTGAGTTCAATACCCGGTTAAGTCAGTGAAGAACTTGGAAAGGGGAATTAACAGCAGATAACTGATAACTGACATCCATTAAACATGGCACGTGGAACTAGATCATTCTACCCCAGTGAGCAAAATATAGGGTTCATTTCGACATTCCAACCACCTGAAGAAGGCCGGAGCGTACAACGGCCGAAACGTTGTGATAAATATGGCTACAAAGATGAGGACAATAGTCCGAATAATGTAAGTAGTGGACTAAAGTTTCCATAATTTATTTATACACCGAGGTAGATGAATTCTTTCATGGTAGATTTACATTAGGTACCATCGCTGCTTTCATAACGATTCTAGGTCATAATTTGTATTTTCGAAAGATTTATCGTTAGTCTTGTTTCTTGGAACTCTTGGTAGAGGCTATTAGAATTATTACTTTCGAATCGACAAGAACGACAAAAAAAATACAGACCTATTAATTTATTTCTCCGCATACCTGGTCTCAACTCCAAAATTTGCAATCGCAAAAGCATGTACAGAAGTCGATGTATTAAACATGTGTTTCATACAACGAAGAAAGGTGAGACAACTTCCAAATGCATGTCTGTATTTCATGTTGTAATGATTATAAAATTCATTTCATTGAAAGAAAGTGGAATGTCAGAGAGGCACAAATAATGAGGTGGGAATTATAGAAACAAATGTAGCGCGTCGCACACACAAGTTGTTAGAACAAATTTTTTCAGCTACAAGTCGTGGAGAAGAGACTCGGTGCCTGTATTTAAAATAGATTTTAACTTTTTTCAATAACATATATTTTTAAAAGTCAACAACTTATCTATTTATTTATTTAGCTAGCTAGCTATCTCATGTTATTTCTTTCTTTTTTCTTTTTTTCTTTCTTTTGTTTTTTTCTTTCTTTCTTTATCAGCTTCTTCAGATATATCGCTATCTCTGTATTTAGCTATCATAGTCTGTTTTATCTATCTATCTATCTATCTATCTATCCACTACTGTTGTTTAACTCTCCTGTATATTCCCGAGAAAGCCATAGGAACGCTGATAGGAACCACGTGAATGTGAACAACATTTTCCTTATGCATGAAAAAAATGTATAAAACTAGTGGAGAAAACATAAGCAAGGTGAAAGGAAGACAAGAAAGTCAGTCAAATCGGAAGCCATCTGAACAAAAGTCAAAATGAAGGCATATTTGAAAGGATGATAAATAAAAATAAAAAGAGTGAAAAATAAAATTTTAAAAAAAGGAAGAAGAATTTCAACGAATGATGAAAAAATGTTAGGTTGAGACATATATTTCAGCCACACCAAACGTGGATAAAGATTTTCTTGTCAAAACAAAGGCGACTTTATTTTGATGCTGTCTATTTGTGTCGAATAGAAGGCCGCCATCTTTGTATTTCTGTGACTACATCCCAAAATAAATTCTATTGGCAATGTTTTAATTATTCATATATGGGATCCATCACAGGAAATTACTTCTTTGTATTATACGACATTTTTCTTTCTCTCTCTTTCTTTCTTTCTTTCTATTTAGCCGCTATTTTTCTTATACTTCTTCTTTCTTTCTTTCTTTCTTTCTTTCTTTCTTTCTTTCTTTATTTGTTCATTTATATTTAGCCGCTGTTTTTCTTTTTTCTTTCTTTCTTCGTCTTATGTTTTTTTCTTTGTTTATATCCTTTTTTCTTTCATTCTTTCTTTCTTTTTAATCGCTCTTTTTTCTTTCCTTCTTTCTTTCTTTCTTAGACCGATGAAATTTTCCTTATGATACCTAGACATTATTAATTTAAGCGCAGTACTAGATTGGCTGCTAGGTATCATCATTTTACAGTTCAAATCGTTAGATGTAACCATAAATTCTATGCTAACGGCTAACGGCTTCTTCTTTCTGAGTACACTTAGACATTAAATTTAAATCCAATGCCAATCGTTATCTTTTTTTTTAATTCATTCTGTTCTTTTATTCTTCTCTCAATCAAACGTTTTGCTCAGATTCTCTAATGCAGTAATTCCCTGCGTCTTAGCGGCTTTATTACCTAGCTTTTGATGAAATGATTATATACAGAATTTCAAATAATGATATATTTAAAAGGACAAAAGATAAAAACGAAAATACAAAAAAAACGAAGTAAATACATATTTAAATGTAATTTCTAAAGAATAAAATTATTTTATTTTTTTAATCAGCATTTCATTACCTCAAACGTTATTTATAATGGATGCACGTGTTCGAGTAGACGTTCCGTTTATTTTTTAAACAGTATTTTGTCGTTTACTAGCTTGCCTAATCAATGAAACTTAGTAAAATTTATGTAGACGGCACATTCTCTTTATTATGTTATTTTTCTAGTACGCAGTCCTGTAGACAAATTAAATACTGTTTAAAAATTAAACGGAGTGTCTACTCAAACACAATTATCCATAAAAATAATGTTTTAAAAATTTAAATTATTTAAATGTGTGTATATAGGATGTATAATAGTATCCAACACAAAAGTTACCCATATATATATATATATATATATATATATATATATATATATATATATATATATATATATATATATATACATACATCAGATTATTTCATCGTATCATAAAATATTCTTATCTAGATGTATGGTGTCACGTCTTCATATGACAGCAGATATAGACATGTATGAATAACAGACACCTCTAACTTATATTTTAAACTCTTCTGCATTAGCTTTTACCTGTCTTTTGACTGGTTACCAATGACATACCCCTAAAATTTTGAAATCTTCACCCCCGCCTTCTTCGTAACTCTTTAATAAGCCACCGTATTGTTTCCTGTTTTCAAAAGTAAATCATTTTCATCAAAAGTTACCTAACATTATCTGATGACAGGACCAAAATTTTAAAGTTACGAAAATTTCCGTGTCGCAATGTAAAATAGTTTTAAATAAAAATATTATTAAAATATTATGCTCTACGTTGTATTGAACATTTTTTTTTTAAAAAGCAAATGCTAAAGAACTGTGGATTCTTAATCTGTCTGTCCTTTCTCTTTATTCGTAATTATATATATATATATATATATATATATATATATATATATATATATATATATATCAAGAGAGTATAATAAAAACATGTTGAAATCGCTACACATAAGCTTTCATGTTTCAATACTTTGATTAAATTTCTTCAGGCAATGATAAGTAATATTACATTAGCATGGGAAAACAAATATGAAATCTCAGTGAAGAATATTCCCAAGACAAAGAAATGCGATTATTTTGTAAAAGGAATTCAGAAAACTGAGGATTTATTAAGACGGACGAGCTGGAATGCTTATTCCTTCCTTCATGACAACAATTTTTCGAAAGAACCGCAAGTTTATGGTTTCAAAAGCTTAAAAACTGCACCTTTCATCGAACGGTTATATGGATTTTAAAATAATTTATTAGAAATCATTAATAATATTCCTTTTTTAGAATCACCAGGGATCATCTCTTGAAGAAGTACAATCAAAGTATTGCGAAATGAAAGCTTTGTGGAGCCATTTTAAAATGTTTTTATTATAATCGCTTTTAATAAAAATATAATAAGAATATATTGCTCTACTTTGTATTCAGTATTTTTTAAAAGTAAATGCTACGAACAGTGGAATTTTACACCATTTGTTCTTTCTCTCATTTGTGTGTATATATATATATATATGTGTGTGAAGAAAAATATATACGGAAAAAAACAAAACAAAAATCCTTAAATAAGGATTTTTGTTTTGTTTTTTCCGTATATATTTTTCTTCATACTGTCGGATCTATATCCATATATTTGCTTACATATATGTGTGAGTGTGTGTGTGTGTGTGTGTATAGTTCGGCAGCATTTTTTCATTAAGACATGTTTTGTTGTAATGTTAAGTCAGGTTCTGTCTACTCATTTTCGATAAGATCATTTCATACTCACGAATAAGTTTTTTGATATCATTATTGAAGGACGAGAGAAAATCGCTGTACAACAAAATATGTCTTAATACACACGCACACACACACACACGTATGTGTATATATATATATATATATATATATATATATATATATATATATATATATATGACCTGATGATTGCTGTCTAGCATGAAACAATCTATTTCCTCTATATGTTGACTTCAATGTTCACTTTTATATATATATATATACATACATATATATATATACATATATATATACATATATATATATATACAGTTGGCGGGGACGGAAAAAAATATTCGTGCACTAATAATTTTTAATTTATTGTATTTCTGACTAATGAATAAACACGCTTTTCATATAATTTAATCTACACAGATGCATAATAACTAAATATGCATAGAAAACAGAAAAAAATTGACTAAAGATTTATCCCATTTATCGATTCTAATGAGTGAAAAAGTATTCATACAATCCAAATAAAATTACTTAATCTTCATTTAATACTTTGTAGAATAACCATTATTCACTTCTACAGCAACTAACATCTTGTAGTTGCAAATTTTAGTTGGCATTTTGTTCCATTCGCTTGTCCATAATACTCTTTCCCTATAAGATTTTTACTTATCCTTATATTCACGAACGAATTTCAACCTGACATCTCCGTGTCTTTCCGATAGCTGTTTACCAGGAGGAACGTGATTTTAGAATGTTCCTATGAATTCCATTGCTTATTGTCTGTTTAGTGGCACAGATTCTTAATGAAAGCAAATCAGTCTGAAACGCGTCGTTTATATCTTTTCCACTTTGTGTTCTCCGAGGTTTCAGACACTATATTTGACCGGATAATCGAATGAAGATTATTAAACAAACTTTGAATGCCTCGGCAACTGGATATTTAAAATGATGTGATTGAAATAACAATTTAGAATATGCAAAAGATAGAAAAAGGAAACAGATTTTTCAGCTCCAAAAGTTCATTACTTTTGAACCAAATGACTAAGAAATGAAAACTTCGTTAATAATATAAAGACCTTGACGTCTAAATAAAGTCTCTCATATATCCTGCCTTAAATTCGTGAAGATATTCATAGAATAATAAGCTGATTACAAGAATCTGTTTTGTGGAATTACCACTAGCATATTCAGTCATACATAACAGTATCACCTTGCAGGCATTACGTAAAAAATTGGTTCTTAGTTAATAAAACTACCAGAGCAAATGAGACAGAATTTGAATTTAGATTCTTTAATGGCAGAATGAATTGGTTACTTGTAACAAGTTGCCGTGATTCTTTATTCTAATAAACATCGCGAAAAAGCTGAAGAGGAGGATAGACAGACAGAAAAGGTGAAGGAATTGAAGTTTGAGAAAACAAGAAAGGCTGCAGGAAAATGAAAAGTAACAAACGGAAAATGAAGCAAAATTAGTAGGATCGAAACAAAATGAAGAAGTGACTGATGCTTGATTATTAAATTTGGTTTTAAAAGAAATGTTATAAAAAAGAGAGAAAATAAAATTGAGAGATATGCAACGAAAGCTTGGTCAAGGTAAATAGAAAGCCAGTGCAGAGATGCATGCTGGGAGAATGTTTGAAAATATAATGGCGATTAATAAAATGAATGCAAAAATATAGACACTGAGAAATATTAGGAAATATATTTAAAAAGTAATACAAAACGAAGAATATAAAAAAGAGAGAAAGAATTAAAGAACAAAAGAAAAATGAAGTCAACGAGACGAATAAAATGAAGGATATTGAAAGGAAAGTAAATAAATAAGTGAATATGGAGAAATGATGATAATGAATTACATTTTAAGATTAGAAAAGATGTATGAAAGAAAGAAAAGGAAGAAAGAAAGAAAAAGAAAGAATGAAAAAGAGAAAGAAATAGAATGAATGAAAGAAAGAATGAAAGAAAGGAAAGAAAGGACGAAAGAAAGATAGGAAAAAATAAAAGAGAAAGAAAGAATGAAAAAAAGAAAAGAGACTAAAAAAGAAAAATAGAATGAATTTAAATAGCTGAAAAAAGATCATGAGAGCAAAGAAGGCATAAAGAAAAAACAATTGATATAGAAATTATTAGAAAGAAGAAAAAAGAAAGAATGAAAAAAGAAAGAAAGAAAATAGAAAAGAATAGAAAAATAGAAAAGAATAGAAAAATAGAAAATCTATTTAAATAAGAAAAGATTGTGAGGGAAATGAAGGCAAAAAGAAAAGTATAATAGATATAGACATTATAAAAAGAAGGAAAGAAAAAAGAAAGAAAGACAGAAAGAAAGAAAAAATGAATGAATGAATGAAAGAGAGAAACGTTAAGTAAAAAAGAAGAAAGGAAAAGTCAAAGAAGAAGAATTGATAACAAAAAAGAGACTTAAACAAAATGGAGATAATAAAATTTCTTTGTAAAGAATATTTGTTTTTTCGACCAATCAGAATCAATTTACAGAATTTGAAGCCGCAGAAATGAAATAAGTATGATAAAACTCTTATTTAAATTTAGTTATCATTTCAAAATCTGTAAAGTAACGCAACACGATAAAAACGTATTTTTCCCATCTACATTCAATGTTTTACGCATGCAAAACCGAATTTCTGGATTTTAAAAAAATTAGTTTATAGAAGTAAAAATACGAAAATCCAACCCTGAAGATTTTTAATTCTCGCTTGCAATGTTTAACAGATACCTTTCAAATTGATTCCGTTTGAGAGCGGCTCAATACCTCCTACCAACATCGATAGATACAGGAATCATACCGTTAAATGAAATGAGTTTCCAGCTAAGAAAAAAAAAACAAAAAAAGAAACACTGTTTTCCATCATGCATTTCCATTAGGGCCTAAACTAGCGAGTGTGTGTTTCAATTTTAAACCAACTGTAAATAATGATATAGATGTGTGGCTTGTGTAACGTTTAGCGACTCAAAGAGAGAAACCAGCGAGTAAATTATGAATTCCAGTCGAATGTGTTGCATTCCCTTTCGCTCTCCTCCCAGCTATGGGTTAAATAAAAGGACTGTCTGTGCTCTTTTGCTTTGGGTTTGTTTAGAAATAAACTTCAAAAGCCGCCTGAAAAGGTATATACTTCATCAGGTTACCCTTCCCAAGACACATCGCTACTTTTTTGTCTGCCCTAAACATAGATCCCCTATTACCCTAATAGGTTACGAAGCTCATCACGTGACGAAATGATGAAGATACAGACCAGTGTGGTTAAAAAATAAGGAGTCTATTAGCAGTACACACACCCATTATATTAATACATTGTATATTAACACCATGTGATAACACAGGGGTATACTCTCGAATGGGTGGGACCTTGAAACCCATTCAGCAATAAATTATTCTAAACTGATTCAATCAGTTGATACCATATACAAGGAGTTGTAGGTTGGAAGGCAAAGTCAGGCGTCGTCCTATAAGGTCAGGGAATTTATACTGTTGAGTAGCACGGACACAGTGTGGGCGGGCATTATGCTGCTTGTCCAACTATTTGGTTGTTGTTTAAGAAAATCCCCGCAGCACGGATTACATAATTCGCTGGAAGTGCATAACGCTGTTCAGTCTTACGTCGATAAACACCAAAGAGTTGTAAAATATTGTCAGTCCCTATCTATCTATCTATCTATCTATCTATCTATCTATCTATCTATCTATCTTATATATATATATATATATATATATATATATATATATATATATATATATTTGAAATCAGTTTTATATTGTTTTAATATTTCATTCATCGTCATTTTACTATAAATACAGGCTGCGATGGATAAATCGTCGTCTAAATGCCACAAAAATGAAAATGATACAGACATCTTATTTTAACAGATATTTTTACCAAAATTACACAAAAATATGGAATAATAAGGAATAAATTTGTTCAATACAATTTCCATTGTCTTCAACCACGGCCTGCAGACGACTTCGGGATCTTTTGCAACACATCTGGAGGGTCGCCTTGTTTAAGTTAATGAATGTTGCCATCACTTCATCTTTGGTGTTACAAGGAGTTTTGTTCGTCTCCCGCTCAACTACGTCATACACATAATAATCAAGGGATTGCAGACTACAGAGTTAGGTGGTCAGATGTAAGGGGTGATGTGGTCGCAGAAATTATCTGGCAGCCATGACTGGGATATCCTGTGTATGTGACATATTGCAGAGTCCTAGTGCTTTCTAGACACAGGACAGCATTACCTTATCAAGGTACTTGATATAGGCCTACGTGTTGATTCTGAGGTCCTCAACAACAAATTCTGAAATTCTTTTCTTATCAGAACTATCAGATTGAATTTTCTGAGCTTCTTTTCCTTCGTAATCAACATTACACTTTTTCTGAATCCTCTACCCTGTCCTCAGATTGACACCCAAACACTGTGAAATGTTTGTATTACGCCTTTCAGTGCTAATTCCAAGCAGTACACTGTTTCCAAATTTCTGGTTGAATGAACTGCGTCATGGTGCTCTTTTTTCTCACGGTCGGTGACCAACTGACCCTACTATACCGATTAATAGTCTCTTTGTAACTGTTAATTGGCGGAAAGTGACACCCTGCTCTGCCGTGATTGGCTTAACCCCTTTAGCCATGCGTTCCTAAACAATTTCACACCTTCTGCCTGAGCTCCTGAGTCAAAATTCACGAATAATTGCTATGTAATGTTTCATGGTAGATATCAAAATAGTTACAAGTGTTTACCCACTGTTCAACCGGTGGCTGGGCATTACGTCATTTTTCTCTACCACTGTTCAACCGGTAGCTGTGCATTACGTCATTTTTCTCTACCACCGTTCAACCGGTGGCTGGGACGTAAAGTGGTGGTCAGAGCTCAAGGGGTTTAAAGTGAATTTCCCCGCTATACGACTGATTAATATTATTTTCTCACATAGAAACGTTTATGGAGTCAAGCCTCTTATGTTTCCCATTAATTTTTGTCTGATTGTTTTTAGATAAAAAAAAAATTATCTTTGAAACAAATTTCTTCTTATAATAATTGATTAATAACATCGTTTTGTGGAAGGCGTGGACGATCGATCAATTCATGAAGCAAGCCACTGACCAAGTCGTCTATTTTGTACGAGTGAATTCAAATAACATCATATAAATTTCTTGCGTAAAACTTTGCTTTGTTCTGAATAATAAAAATGGACGAGTTTTAAAATGTGTTCTTATATTGTTTAGATTAATAAATCTTTCTTAATCGCTTTCAGTCTTATGGTTGTTATTAATATTGATTGTTTAAATCAGGTGTATAAGTAATTAACTGATTAACTGACTGGATTATATTTGAACTGAGTGTATAGATCAGTGCTACTAAAAGTGGTGGTTCGCGAATCGGTGCCGATACGCGAAACATCATCCACCGGTACGTAGCCATTATCCAAGGCTCTACTAAGGAACCATTTGAAGAACTGGTAGATGCCAGCTAAACATTAGTCAGGACCGTCAGAATTTGTACTTTCGTATCAAACTTGATACTTTTTTTGTTTTCAGTGTAGATTTTAGTACGATCGGTACAACTTTTAAATATTATTATATTAAAATATTATTATATTCATTAAATACATCGTCTCTGGTATAAATTAATTATTACCACAAAATATTACAGGTACGTGACACATTGAGAAAAACAGTGCCGGTCCGCCATATTAGATAGTTTGAGAAGCACTAGTACAGATGACAAAACACACAAATAATAACATGATCAACAGATTGAAATTCTACTAAATACTTTTTACTAAGCAATTTACGACTTGAGTTGTGCGTTTATTTTAATTTCTCGGTCTATATTTAAGTTCTTCTTATAAACGCCGTGTTCAGTCAAGATGTTGGTGAGCACGGCTCTCTGCAACTTCCTGTCCCCTTTTTTGCAACGTTTGTCTCTACACCATCCCTCTTTCTTATCCTTCTATTAACCATTTAATCCCATTAGATAAATTAATCGGTGTTTGTCTCTGACCGTCTTGTACTCAATATGTCCTGTGAGTGTTAAATTTTACAAGCCCATTTCCTCATAATTCACCGCATAAATTTCAACAATCTATTTCTGATTTTAAGTAAATGTATCTTTCTAGTTGCCATTTTGTTTAAAAATTCCTTGACATTCAAGTGTTCTGTCCATGCTATTCTTCTGTATAACCACATCTTTATGGCTTCGAGTGACTTCTTCATCTATTTGGAAATTGTTATGCGTTAATTCACCTCCATATTGGAAAATGGATTTTTACATAGCACTTCAGAACTCTTTGTGTGTGTGTGTGTGTGTGTGTGTGTGTGTGTGTGTGTGTGTGTGTGTGTGTGTGTGTGTGTCATAAAGATTTCCTGTTTTAATACTTTGTTTTGTTTCTGGAAGGCATCTTTTCTAATTTCAATCTATCCTAAGATATCTTTGTCGCATTTTCTTTCTTTTTACTGTTACTAAAGAATCGAACTCACTACTCAATCGTAATTGATGTAGCGAGATAAGCTTGTTAACCATCACGTCCAAGTGTCCTACTAATAACAATAAATTCCTCGCCGAGGAAACATGTTTGCTAATAAGCAAGATTCTTCAAATTCCTAAATTCAGGTATGTCTCCGAGCAATTCTTGATAAATAGAATCAACTGCGAATCCCATCGTTTCGTTGTCGACTGCCTCTCTAATAACTTCAACAGCATAAACTTGATTATGGCGCTTTCTTTCTTGAATTAATCCCCGAAAGAAAACATTGATGGAATTTACTTTGAAGCAATCTTTGGAATTAGTCAAACGGAAGTGAATATATTTTGCTTGCAGAGGGAAGCCCAGTAGCCTCTCATGGTAAACAGTGATTCGAGCCAAAGTAATTTACTTGACTTCCAAATTGACTCGTGTAAAAATATTTATGTCTGTCCGTGTGTTTATCTATATAACAATGAATGTATATAAGATTGTTAATACATATTTAGCTAGCAAGCATACTCAGTCTGTTCATATCGATGTGTGTCCATTATCTATCTATCTATCTATAAAAATTTGCTCATATCTATTTATCAAAATCTGCTCATATCTAAATCTATCTATCTATCTATCTATGTAAATCTACTCATATTTATCTAAATCTGCTCATATTTATCTATCTTCTCTTATCTATCTATCTATCTATCTATCTGCTCATATCTATATATCTATCTATCACAGTCTGTTCATATCTATCTATCTATCTATCTATCTATCTATCTATCTATCTATCTATCTATCTATCTATGCAGGCAAGCTAAAGATGAATGGCTGAACGAAAAAGGTGCAGAAATAAAAAGATTGAATCCTACCAACAAAAGAGCCATGCTCAAACAAATAAGACAGCTAACAGGACAGAAGACATGCTCATCAATAGGCTGCCTTTAGAGAAGGAAAAAAATTCTTCAACGATAGATCGAGTATATTGGAGAACTCTTCCACGACGAATGGGAACAAACAACAATACACAGAACTACCGACGAACCTGGAATTCTGAAAATCGGAGTAAAAGTTGCAATGGCCAAATTAAACAGAAGCATGGCAACTGGGCCAGATGGAATTGTAACGGAAATACTGACAGCCTTAAATGACTTTTGTATAGACGAGATCACCGAAATAACAAATGAAATCTACAACAGCGGAGATATATCGGAAGGCCTCAGCAGATCTATCTTCGTAGCTAAGCCTGAGAAAACAGGCGCAAACGAATGCGAACTCCTCCGAACACTAAGCCTAATGAGCCACATGACAAAATGCATCATCCGTATTCTAATGAAGATCGCGCAGCAGAATCAGCCCAGAGATAGTGCGAGTTCATTAAAGACACACGATATTCATGCTCAGAATGTTATCAGAAAGAGCAATACAGATGCCGAAGGACGTATACGTATGTTTCATAGACTAAGAGAAGTCTTTCGACAAAATACTCCACAGGAATCTGCAAGAACTGCTCAGCAACCTCGATATATTCAGGAAAGATATTAGAATAATCAAGAACCTATACTGGCAGCAAACAGCATGCATGCACATAGGGAACGAGTTCAGCGAATATACAAAAATAGAAAAGGGCGTAAGGCAAGGATGTATCTTATAACCCGACCTGTTCAACCTCTACTACGAGGCATTCTTGAGAGAATTGGAAACCCTACCGGGATTTAGCATTGGCGGCCACAATCTTAACAACATAAGATATGCAGATGACACAGTACTAATAGAAGACACGGAAATGAAATTACAAAATCTTCTACAGAAGGTAGCGACAGAGAGTGAAAAGAAGGGACTAAGCATAAACTACATGAAAACGGAGTGCATGGTCGTCAGTAAGAGGATGAACCCGAAAGGCGATCTGAAGGGCGGGAACACTAAAATCAAGAAGAAGCGGAAGTTTATATACCTGGGAAACTTCTTAACAGAGGATGGTAAGTGCGACACCGAGATCCGTAGACATACAGGGATGGCCAATGACACATTCCAAAAGTTGGGAGGAGGATTTCTTTGGTAACAAAGAAAAGAATACTGAACTGTTACGTGACAACTGTCTTTCTTTATAGGTGCGAATGTTGGACGATTTCCTCAAAGATGAAGAAGAGACTTGAGGTGACAAAGATGTGGTTCTACAGAAGGATGCTAAGGATATCATGTGAGGAAAGAAGAGATCTTAGAGAGTTTGTAAACAAGGAGGAAGCTAGTAATTAATATCAGGGAAGAGGCAGCTGAAATTTCTGGGACATACAATGAGGAAGGAGGGCCTGGAAAATATGAGACTCACGGGTCGAATAGAGGGAAAGAGAGACAAGGGAAAACAACGCGTGACATATCTGGCGAACTTAAGCAAGTGGATGACAGAACGTGGTCTGGGGGGGGAAGCAGAGGGAAGGAACTTGTTGAGAGCTGCAAGGATTAGAGGAGGCGGAGAGCCATGATCGACTATGTCCTGAAAGGACATGACACATAAAAAGAAGAAAGAATCTATCAGTTTTTTCATATCTATTTATCTATCTATCTAATTCTGTTACGTATCTATCTCTCTATCTATCTACATGTCTAATGATATGTCTGCACATATCTATCTCGCATGTTTTGGTATCCCCTTTCTATTGCATATCTATCTGTCGATCTATCTGGTTAATAATCGTTCTGATTCTTTTCTCTCTCGTTCTATTTATGAATATTCTCCTATTTTCTCTTGACTTTTCCCAGTTTCTTTTTCTAAACTATTCATGACATTATCTACTATAACCTACACGAGTCTCTTTATCAATGGACGCCTGTCCTTGGTAAGACGTTAAACTACATCTGAGTCCTGAATAAGACGATAAACTACATCCAGCAGTAAGGCCTCTGATCAGGAGGTTTTGAGGAGCGTAGAACCACCTCTTAATTGCTGGTGTTCTAAGGTCCACCCTGGCCCGGGTTGGTAGCACCTATTAGGGTCCTAACTATGGGCAAATAGTTAACTATTACCAGCAATACTTTTTGAAAAAAATTATTACCAGCAATACAATTTTCACAGAAAAATATTACCAAAAAACAGATTTTTGACAAAACAAAATATTCCCAGCAATAAAAAAAATTGTCGGCAATAAATAACCCATGGAGGTTGATATGCCGTAAAACAAAATAAACCAAACCAATCTATACCAAAGTATACATTATATTCATACAAATCTATCCTAAAAATGTTGTTGGCATTAAAATAACCCATTGAGGTTTATATGCCGTTGATATGCTATAAAACAAAATAAACCAAACCAAACTAAACTTATCAATTGACGCCATGCAATTTCACGTTTCTTTTATTCTGACTGGTAATGTCTTCCTACTTCCCTACATCCTCATGTCATCTTTCAAACAAAAAGTCTGCTTGAAGCGTGAAAGTTGTCTCGTCGTGACACTAGTCTGGGTGGGTCATGAAATCAGTAGCCGCTCGGTACTCCATAAAATACTGGTCATTAAATGAAGCAACTAGAGTTGACTTATCATCAACCAATCGCTTTTTTTTCACATCCATGTTCACACGGAGACCAACCATCTCTTTTCTTCCCCTTCATCCATTATCATCTAATACCTCATCTTTTATCCTCATGCCATAATTACTACTCTCGCGTTTATCCAATATTTATCTCTCCACAATTCTCTTCAATTTCTCTCACTCTCATCCCATCTTAAAATCTCACTCTGTCAGAGCATACATACGACACTCCATTTTCCTCTTAACCAATTCTATCCCATCTCATTTTATCTTTCAATCTCTTCTTCTAATCAGATCGTCCCATCGTCCCTTCCTTTCTACTCATCCCACCCTCCAATCTCCCTCATGCTCTCACTTCTCCCTCTCATTCAATCTTTCTCTCTTTCAATCTTTCCTCTCACCCTCTCCTGACTCTCATTCCATGCTCTTATTTCTTCCTCTCCTCCCATCCTTTCTTTTCGCCCTCTCATCCTTCTACGTTCTCCTTCTCACCCATCTTCCCATTTCCTTCCCTTCCAATCTCTCATTTCTCCCTCTCATTCAACCCTTCCCTCACTCCCTCTCATCCTTCCACATTCTAATCTCATCCTCCCATCTCTCTCAATCTATTCTCTCATTGCTCCCTCTCATCCAATCCTTCCCTCTCTTCCTCTCATCGCTACACACTCTCCTTCTCATGCCATCCTCCCTCCCTCTCATTCCATTTTTTTTATTTCTCCCTCTCACCCAGCCTTTCCCACTCTCCTTCCCATCCCCTCCTCACATCTCTCTCTCAATCCATTCTCTCATTGCTCCCTCTCATACAACTCTTCACTCTCTCCCTCTCGTCGTTACACACTCTCCTTTTCATCCCATCCTCCCATCTCCCTTTCATTGCTTTCTCTCATTTTTCTCTTTCATCCAACCCTCTCCTCATCCCATCCTCACATCTCCCTCTCATTCCGATTTCTCATTTCTCTCTTTCATCGCACCCTTTCCTCTCCCTCTCATTCTTCTACCCTCTCCTTCTCATCCCATCTCATTTCATTCTCTAATTTCCCCCTCTCATCCAACCCTTACCTCTCTTCCTCTCATGTCAATGCCCACTCTCATCCATCATTCTTTCTCCCTCATCCTATACTTCTCCCGGACTGTATGTTCTGTGAGTGTCAAATTCATCCTAAGCCCAATTTCTTCATTCTTTGTTCCAGAAATCTTACTTGTCTCTATTTGATTCTAAATACATGCAACAATTTTTGTTTCTATTTTCTTTGAAACTTCCTCGTCACTTACAGGCTCTGTCGATGGTATGA